TTTTTTCTCAAGGCTAGAGCTTTACCAATTGAGCCACAGCTCTATTTCTGGTCTTTTGCTGGATCTTAATTTCTGGGAGTAGCTGAGATTGCAGGGTTGAGCCACTGGCACCTGGCCCAGTTATACCTCCTTTACGTTTTTTTTTTTTTTTTTTTGCCAATCTGTTGATGGAGCTTCCCAGATACAGATGTGGCATTACTCTTTATGTCAGTGCTCGGCCTCCTCAAGGTGGTGGTGGGCAGGGGGTGGCGGAGTGCTAGTTCTGAATCTGTCCTTGTCCCCACTCAGCATTGCTGTTGCTTTGTACAGTGAATTCCTACTTCCTGGTTATATTGTCAATTTCTTTGCCTCTACTGTCACATACTAAAAGTTTCTTTTCCCAATAAGTTTTTACTTATTCTTTCCTCCCTAGCTATCCCTCCTTCCTGCTTCCTTTCTCCTCTCTCTCCCCCTCCCCATAGATAGACAGACAGATAGCTATATAGACAGTATGTGGCTATATGGATTGAACTCTATGAGGTCAAGAGACCTTCCAGTTTCAGCTTCCTGAGTAGCTGGAACTAAAGGTGAGTACCACCAAACTTGACTTACAATAATACTATGCTGCTCATTTGAACATTCATTCACTCAATATTTATTTATATTGGATACCTATCATGTACCAGGCCTTAGTATCTTTTTTCTTTTTTTTTGGTTGGTTGTGGGGCTTGAACTCCAGGTCTGGGCTCTGTACTTCAGCTCTTCAGCTCAAGGTGAGCACTCTACCACTTGAGCCACAGCGCCACTTCTGGTTTTCTAGTGCTTTATTAGAGATTAGAGTCTCACAGACTTTCCTGCCCAGGCTGGCTTTGAATTGCAGTCCTCAGACCTCAGCCTCCTGAGTAGCGAGGATTACAGGCGTGAGCTACCAGCCCCTGGCCCCTTAGTATCTTTATATACATAGAGTGTGTGTGTGTGCGCGTGCGTGTGTGCATGTGTGTGTGTACTGGGGCTTGAACTCAGGGTCAGGACACTCTCCCTTAGAAGGTTGGTACTTTTCCATTTGTGCCATACCTCCACTTCTGCAAGTCTCAGACTTTTCTACGCTGGCTGGCTTGGAACCTTAGGTCTCAGCCTTCTGAGTAGCTGGAATTACAGGCGTGAGTTAACAGGCTTCTACACACATAGCTTTCTTCACATTTTGAATAGAGTTACTCATGACAGGCTCTTGAGGGGCTTTGAGTTCAGGGGTGTGGTGGTGGGGTAGGTGTAGTGGGGTGGGGGCACAATGAGCAGAGCAGCTGTCACTGCCTTGTAGCTGATGAGTTAGGGAAGATGTGACACAATCACCCTCCGCCCCCAGCCAGGATGGAGGTTATATAAATGTGTTGTGCAGACTGTACTGGGGTGATACACAATCCCTTCCCCTTGAGCTTCCAGTATTGCTAGATTTACATTCTTAAACTGGGGTGGAGCTTGCGTAATTTGTTCCAAGGTCAGCCAGGGAAGGGTTGGTTAGATAGACTGGCAGACTGTGGACGAGGACCAGGGTATGGCTTGCTGACCCTTATCAAGGTCATCAGTGACCAAGTCCTGCTCTACAGCCTTTACTATGGCAGAGAGCTATAGTCCTGTCTTCCCAGGCTGCTTTCTGCCTTCTGTCTATGCAGGGCAGGCTGCCTGGCTTATGTCAGGCTGTCCTGCTTTATGCTCAATCCTCAGGGCGTGGGGTGGGTGGATGCTCGGGAGGCATCTGTGCCTGAGCCACTGAGCAGTGTAGCGGAAGCCGTGAGTGATTGGTGGATGGAGGGGCTGGGGGAGGGGATCAGAGTTCAGCTTCTGAGGCTGGATCTTGTCTCTGTTAGATAAGGAAACAGATGCTGGGATCTCTTTCCTCTGGCCCTGGCCTGAGGAAACATACTGCAGATTGTCCTTTCTCCTGCAGAATCCTGAGAACTGTGTGAAGTGGGAATCCTGTGGGTGCTGTTGGTGGTGGTTGTAAGGAGACTACAAGCTCAGAGTTGGTGGCTCTATATCTGTAATCCTCAGGAGGCTGAGATCTGAGGATCATAATTTGAAGCCAGGAAAATCTGAGACTCTGTCAGCCTTGAGCAGAAAAAGCCAAGGTATAGCTTTAATCCTTAATCCTGTTGGATAAGTGCTGCAGAGAATGGGGATAGCCCATACTAAGAGCCCAAGGGGAAGCCACAAGCTCTTGGTGACTGGATCCTTGGCTGAAGGCCAGCAATGTAATGGTCTCTATGTGGGTGTTGCCTCAGGCCCAGAAGAAGTTGGACTCCCTTCCTGTACAGTTTTCCTGTATGCTGCTGCACTGGGGAGTGCACCTGCCGAGGCCTGGAACTGAAGAGGTTCTGTTTCCTTCTCAGTGTTTAAGGGGACTGGAAAGGGTGTGACACACATGTGAGAAAGCTAGCATCCAAATGGTTAGCATAAAGGCTGGTACTGAAGACTGTGTTTTAATGAACTGGCAAGTTCTGGTGCTAAATAAATGAAGTGTGGTAGGCCTTCAAGGAAGGAAGCCCACTGCCACAGAAAGCCTTGTGTGAAATCTGCCATCCTAACCCCCTTGTCTGTCCTTGGCTATAATCTCCTTAGTGGCCTGGGCTGCTGTTTGCTGTAGCAGGAATGTTCTTTGACAGGTGGCTTTGTATATTGGGTCTTGGGGATTAGTGATGACAGTGCCTTTAGGGAATATTATATGATGCCCTAGCCAGGTGCTGGTGACTCACGCCTGTAATCCTAGCTACTCAGGAGGCTGAGATCTGAGGATCATGGTTCAAAGCCAACACAGGCAGGAAGGTCTATGAGACTCTTCTCTCCAATTAACTACCCAAAAGGCAGAAGTGGAGCTATGGCTCATATGGTAGAGCACCAGCCTTGAGTGAAAAAGTAAAGCCAGTAGTAGCGTGCACGCATGCGCGTGTGCACAGCCACACCCACACCCACACGTGTGTGCACACCCCCCCCACGATGGATCTTTTGCCTTTTTCCCAAGGAAGATTTCTAGTCTAGAAGTGAAGGCTTCTGTGTCCAGTGGTAGGTCCTGTAGTCTTTTTGGTGGGGCCACAGAATAGTGATGAGGAAAAACTTCTGAGCTTTGGGGACACTTACTGGACTCAGGGTTGCTGCCAGTGGCTTGTTCCTTCTTTGCCCCAGGCTGAGGGACAGCACTGTAGAGAAGTGTTTTGTCCACAAATGACTTCTTAATCCTAGAAGGGATGGAGAATGTTCTGGGCTATCTGCCATGATGTTCTGCAAGTCTGCTGGGCTGTGTTACCTCAGCTTTCAGTCCTGAGTTGTTTGGTGTTGATTTCAAGGCCCCTGCTTTCCTGGTCTGAACCTGGGGTACTTGTGCCTGCGTGGGTTAGTTTGGGAGGAAAGATCAAGGGGGAGGACAGGAATTCCCAGATCTGACTGAGCCCGCGGGGGAGCCCTATGTTGGATCTTCTCAGTTTCCTCTCATGCTCTTAACCCTATAATATGGGCTGACCCGGCCATGGTTCCGGCCTGCTCCTGTGCAAGAAATAGCAGCAGCAACAAAAATAGAACAGAGTAAACAGCTCACTGCTCTCCTCTGCTACATAGGTGAGCAAGGCATCTGCAACAGGGCCTGGAGCAAGAGCTTACAGTGGTTTGGTTTTGCATCCTATCCCAGGTTTCTGCAGTATCTGAATGGAAGGTGATCAACAAGGCAACTTTCAGTTGTGGGGTTGTTTCCTGGGATCACTTGAGCCCTTTCTCAGGGGGCTCCCACTTTCCAGGAACATGTGTCCATTTGTGTGAATGTTTATATGACTAACTTTATATAGAGTTCTAATTTAGTTTTGCTGTATTTCTGTCTGTCTGTATTTTATTTTTGTTAGTTGTGGGGCTTGAACTTGGGGCCTGGTGGCTGTCCTTGATCTCTTTTGTTCAAGGTGAGTACTCTGTCACTTTGAGCCTTGACTCCACTTCCGATTTTCTGGTAGTTAATTGGAGATAAGAGTCTCATGGGGGATGGGAAGGTGGCTCAGTGGTAGAGCGCTTGCCTTGCATGCATGAAGCCCTGGGTCTGATTCCTCAGCAACACATAAGCAGAAAAAGCTGGAAGTGGCGCTGTGGCTCAAGTGGTAGAGTACTAGCCTTGAGCTGAAGAGCTGAGGGACAGCGCCCAGGCCCAGAGTTCAAGCCCCACGACTGGCCAAAAAAAAAAAAAAAAAAAGAGTCTCATGGACTTTCCTGCCCAGGCTGGTTTCAAACCACAATCCACAATCCTCAGATCTCAGCCTCCTGAGTAGCTAGAATTACAGGCGTGAATCACTGCTGCTCATCATGTATTATTTATTTATGCTGGTCCTGGGGTTGAACTCAGAGCCTGGGTGCTGTCTCAGCCCCACAAGTAGCTAGGATTATAGTTGTGAGCCATTGGGCCTGGCTTAATTTTATTTTTTGTAATATGTAGATAATTTTTTTCCAGTTGCCTGACTAGAATTTACTGTTTGCTCTATGAGGAATATAGTACTCTAAAAGTGAGTTTCTCAAAGTACAAAAGTAATGAAAAGTTGGATGCATTCTGGCTCATAGTAGGTTCAAGAACTTATTTCTTTTCAGTGCATTTTATGTCCTAGCAGCCGACATTTTGTAAGATGATCTGTTTTATTGGCAAGTGTCCTGCAGTTCAGTAAAATAGCTGGCTCATGGGAATGTGTCTTTGACAGTTAATTCATTCAGCAAATATTTACTGACGTTTACTATATCCTGGGCCTGTGTTAAGGCCTGGAGATGCCCGGGAAGAGAGGTCAAAGGTCAGGCTGATCTGTCAACAAAAACTCCAGCTCTACTCCCCTGTCCCCCTCAACCAGACAGCTGTGTTTCTCTGCCCGTAACCTGGGAACTTAGGGTTCTTGGAATTCTCAGTGGATAATTTTTATTGGTTGTTAATTGTGTCTAATAACATTATTGATGGTAAACTAATTTTCATAATTACCAGCGCCTTTATTCTGGTGGTTCTTTTATTGCAGCAGAAGATGGCTGTGCCTCCCACGTATGCCGATCTTGGCAAATCCGCCCGGGATGTCTTCACCAAGGGCTACGGTAAGAGTCAAGAGAAGCCAGGGCCCTTCCACACACAAATGGGTCTGGCATGCTTACATTTTTTCCTGCGGTAGATTTGGGAGATCAGATCAGTGCTTGAGAACTTCCATGTTGGGGAAACAGGATCAGCTTCTCGGGCAGCTGGTTGTGTCGCCAGTAGGTGGCGGCTGGCACATTGCTGTGGGTAAAGTGCACATTCTCGTTCTCTCTCTCTCTCTCTCTCTCTCTCTCTCTCTCTCTCTCTCTCGCAAGTGTTCAGCAGCTTTGTGGCTGCTGCTGCCTGCCATGGAGCTCGGCTTCTATATTTAGCCTCCTGTGCCCACGAGGCCTGATGACTCTGTCTGCCAGCTGCTAGGCACCATCTCTCCAGCCCTGCTAGGAGCAACAGGCAGGGGCCAGGTGGAGTCCTAGTTATCTGTCTGTTGCTATTTCATGGCAGGCACTGTGCCATAGAGGGCTTTATTTTATTGAAATGTATGTTCATGTTTAATTAATGAATTAACTTTATTTATTTGTTTATTTATTTATTTATTTATGCCAGTATTGGGGCTTGAACTCAGGGCCAGAGTACTATCCCTTAGCTTTTCATTAAAGACTGCTGCTCTACTACTTGAGCCACAGCACAACTTCCTGTTTTCTGGTGATTAATTGGAGATAAGAGTTTCAGGGGCTTTCCTACCTAGGCTGGCTTTGAACTAGGAGCCTCAAAATCTCAGCCTTGGGAATGTGGGTTAGTGGTAGAGTGCTTGCCTAGCATGTTTGAAGCCCTGGGTTTGATTCCTCAGTACCACGTAAACAGAAAAAGTCCGAAGTGGCACTGTGGTTCAGGTGGTGGTAGAGTGCTAGCTTTGAGTCATAGAAGCTCAGGGAAAGTGCCCAGGCCCTGAGCTCAAACCCCATGATTGGCAGAAGGAAAGAAGGGGAAAGGAAAGGAAAGGAAGGAAGGAAAGAAGGAAGGAAGGAAGGAAGGAAGGAAGGAAGGAAGGAAGGAAGGAAGGAAGGAAGGAAGGAGGGAAGGAAGGAAGAAGCTGGGTGCTGGTGGCTCATGCCTGTAATCCTAGCTACTCAGGAGGCTGAGATCTGAGGATCATGGTTCAAAGCCAGCCCAGGCAGAAAAGTGTGTGAGATTCTGATCTCCAATAAACCACTAGAAAACCTGAGGTAGAGTGCTGACCTTGAGCTGAAGAGCGCAGGGACAGTGTCCAGGCCTAGAGTTCAAGCCCCACAACCACCACCAACAACAACAAAAAGGAAAGAAAAAGAAAGAGGAAGGAAGGAAGGAGGGAGGGAGGGAAGGAAGGAAGGAAGGAAAAGAAAGAAGAAAGATCATGTCAGGCACTGCTGACTCATGTCTGTAATCCTAGCTACTCAGGAGGCTGAGATCTGAGGATCATGATTCAAAGCCAGCCCAGGCAAGGAAAGTCTATGAGACTCTTATCTCCAATTAACCACCAGAAAACTGGAAGTGGCGCTGTGGCTCAAGTGGTAGAGTGCTTGTCTTCAGCTGAAGAGCTCAGGGATAGCACCCAGACCCAGAGTGTAAAGCCCCATGACTGACAAAAAGAAAAAGAAAAAAAACAAAGAAAAGAAAAAAAGAAATATCTCAGCCTCCTGAGTAGCTAGGGTTATAGGCATGAGTCCGCCAGTCCCTAGCTTCAAAGGCTTCATTTTAGGAAGTGTTTCCAAACAGCCATGAGGAAGCCAGAGATGCTGTTCTTGGCTTCAGTTATTTAACCCACTTAAAAGTTGTTTTCTTCTTTCTTTAGGATTTGGTTTAATAAAACTTGACTTGAAAACAAAGTCTGAGAATGGATTGGTAAGTTGTTCAACTGTCCTGGAACATGGTATTTGTCATCCATCATCAGATACCTGGCCAGTCAGGGACCTCTTTTGGATTGTGACAGTTTGTGGTTATTACTTCAGTACTTCTCTATATTGGACACTCTGAAAACCAAGCTGGGAGACCTTGCTTCAGTAGTTGTTAATATGCTCAGGAAAATGAGGGTGGCCTCAGTTGTACTTTCCCCTCCCCTCCTCTCTGTCCCCCTCCTCTCCCCTTCCCTTTTCTCTTTTTTGGTGCTGGGGAATCAAACCCAGGTCCCTGTATATAGGGTACTAGGCAAGTACTCTTCCACTGACCTATACCCTAGTCCAATCCTAATTGCTTCTAATTTTTAAAATGGACTCATGTTATTCAAAACAAAAACATCATCTTTGGCCAGCTGTCAGTGTCATATGTCTATAATTCTAGTTACAAAGGAGGCTGAGATCTGTAGATATAGATCAAGCTTTGAAGCCAGCACCAGCAGACACTTCCACAAGACTCTTAACTCCAATTACCTATCAAAAAACCAAAACTGAGCAAGGCACAGGTGACTCATGCTTGTAATCCTAGCAACTAAGGAGGCTGAGATCTGAGGATCATGGTTCAGGCAGGCAAGTCTGTGTGACTCTGATCTCCAAAACTGGAAGTAGTACTCAAGTGGTAAAGGGCTAGCCTTGAGCTGAAGAGCTGAGGGACAGTGCCCAGGCCTAGAGTTCAAGCCCCACAACCCCACTAAAAAAACCCAAAAAAAATCCAAAACCAGAACTGGAGGCATGGCTCAAGTGATAGTGTACAAGTTACAAGTGAGAGGCCCTGAGTTCAAGCCCAGGATTATCACAAACAAAACAATCTTAGTAGAGCTTTTTAGAGTCTATCTGTAGCAGCTGCCAAAAGGGAAGAATTTAGAGGTAGAATTACTGCTTCACCAGCTTTAGCTCAAGTCTTTTTCTCTGTCCAAGTCTGAAGGAAGGATGGAAGAGAGGCACCTTAGTGTATAGACTCCAGGGCTCCAGAAGAAGAAGGAAGCTTTCTCTTAACACCTTCCCCCCAAAAAAACCCTCCCTCCAAGATTCTTTACCCCCTTTCACATTTTCAATATCTAAGTGAACTACTATAGAAGTAGCACTTTGTGTGTGTGTGTGTGTGTGTGTGTATGCGTATGCATATGTGTATGTATGTGTATGCGCGGGTGCTGGGGCTTGAACTCAAGGCCTGGACACTATCCCTTAGCGTTTTATTCCGAAGGCTGGTGCTCTACCATTTGAGTCACAGCTCTACTCCCAGCTTTTGGGTAGTTAATTGGAGTTAAGAGTTTCACAGACTTTCTTGCCCAGGCTGGCTTCAAACCACAGATCCTCAGATGTGAGTAGCTGGGATTATAGGGGTGAGCCACTGGCATCCAGCCAGAAGTAGCTCTTGTCTGCACATGCTTTGCACTCACCTAAAGGCCAGGAGTGGTGGGTAGCCAGGCTGCTGAGCTGCCGGCTGTGACTCCCCCTCTCTTTTGAAGGAATTCACAAGCTCAGGCTCAGCCAACACCGAGACCACCAAAGTGAATGGCAGCCTGGAAACCAAGTACAGGTGGACTGAGTATGGCCTGACGTTTACTGAGAAGTGGAACACTGACAACACACTAGGTACCGAGATTACCGTGGAGGATCAGGTAAGGCTGCCCACGGGAGGACATGGGGTACTAGTCACATGTGCTTGCTGCACTAAACCTACTGGCTACTTTCTTTTCTGTTTAGCTTGCACGAGGACTGAAGCTGACCTTCGATTCATCCTTCTCACCAAACACTGGGTAAGTGTCTCATCTGTTTTCCATGAGGACATTCTATGATGCTGCGGATTCTGGAAACCTTTGGTGACAAAGGGTTAGACCTATATAGATTCAAGATCTCTGGTTTTGCTTCACCCCCGCCCAACCCCTGACCCCAGGACACATAAACATTCAATCTTTAATAAACAGTGTTGCAACTCTGTTTAATTTAGGAAAGTTATTCACGCAACAGCTAGTGTGGTTTTGTTTTTTGTTTTGGTGCTGGTCCTGGGTCTTGAACTCAGGCTTTGGGTGCTGTCCCTATGCTCTTCTTTGCTCCAGATTAGTGCTCCATCACTTGAAAGACAGCTCCCTTTGCAGCATTTTGCTGGTTAATTGGGAATAAGAGTCTCAGGCTGGTTTCGAACTGCAGCCCTCAGATCTCAGTCTCCTGGAAGCTCGGATTCCTGGCCTGAACCACTAGTACCCAACCAGTCATGTTTTCTCAAAGAGTCCACATTGTCTTTGTGGCCCTGGCTGAAGGTGTCAGGATTTCACTAGTGATGCTGCATTTCATATGAGTGGAGCTGCTGGTGAGGTACATGGTCAAGGCTGAAGGGCAGCAGGTGACACTTGGAAACAGACTAGCCCATTCTGTAGGTGTGGAGAGGCCTTCTCCCCGCTTCCTGCATGTGGACACAGAAACCTTATGTTCTTTGTTTTTGGGTCCGGTCGTGAGGCCTGAACTCTGGGCCTGGGCGCTGTCCCTCAGCTTTTCAGCTCAAGGCTAGTGCTCTACCACTTGAGCCACAGCGCCACTTCTGGCTTTTATCTTTTTGCTTATGTGGTGCTGAGGAATCGAACCCAGGGCCTCATGCATGTAAGGCAAGCACTCTACCACTGAGCCACCTTCCCAACCCCAGAAACCTTATGTTCTTAACCATGAGCTGGCTTCTGAGGCTTTCTGATCCTTTGTCCCAGGCCCTCTGGCCACAGATTAAGCTTGTTTATTGCATCAGGAAGCAAAAGTGTTTTTTTGGTCTATTTAGCTCTGGGGTGTTTTAGTGAAATTCTCTCTCTCTTTGTCTTCCTGGTGCGTGGGCTTGAACTCAGGGATTGGGTGCTGTCCCTGAGCTTTTTTGCTCTATCACTTGAGCCACAGCTCTACTTCGGATTTTTTGTTGATTAATTGGAGATAAATATCTCATGCACTTTCCTGCCTGGGCTGGCTTCAAATTGGGATCCTCAGATCTTAGCCTTCTGAGTAGCTAATGTTATAGGTGGTTTTTTGTTTTTGTTTTTGTTAAGGGGGGGTGGTGGTACTGGGATTTGAATAAGAGCCTTGTGATTGCTAGGCAAATACTCTCGCATTTTAGCCTTGTCCCACTCCCCAGCCCTGACCCAGACAGTTTTGAAGAATGGCTAGTTGTTTTGCAGAATGTCCTTCAGTTTGGATTAGTCTGATGTTTCTTCATGATTAAATTCAGTTTATGCATTGTTGGCAATTTGTAGAAGTATTGTGTTCTCAGGGCTTGCTATCAGAGAGAATGGGTCAACATTGCCGCTATTGACCTTGATCATTTGGATAAACTGATGTCTACAGGTCTCTTTGTAAAGATACTACTATTTTTGTATTTAGTAGATACCTAAGGGAGATACTTTCTATTTTTCTTTTTCTTTTGGTGCAGTCCTAGGGTTTGAACTCAGGGTCTAGGTGCTGTCCCTGACCTTTTTTTTTCTTTCTTTCTTTTCTTTTAAAATTTCCTCAAGGCAGCACTCTACCACTTGAGCCCCAGCTCCACTTCTGGATTTTTTGGTGCTTAATTGGTGCTCAGAGCCTGCCCAGGCTGGCTTTGAACTGTGATTCTCAGATCTCAGCCTCCTATGTAGCTAGGATTACAGGTGTGAGCCACCAGTAACACCTAGGGAGATACTTTCAGATAGCAAATATTCTATTTCTCATCATGCTTTGGTTCACAAATAGAAACTTGGCTTGGTAATTTTGGTTTGCAACAGGTTTGGCAAACTGATGTTCTTTCTTATCTGTCTTTCTTTCTCCTCCCTCCCTCCCTCCCTCCCTCCCTCCCTCTCTCTCTCTCTCTTTCCTTCCCTTCCCTCCCTTCCTCCCTCCCCCTTTCCTTCCTTCCTTCCTTCCTTCCTTCCTTCCTTCCTTCCTTCCTTTTCTTCCTTTCTTGCCAGGCCTGGGTGCTGTCCTCTAACTTTTGTGTTCAAGGCTAGCCCTCTATCACTTGAGCCACAGCTCCACTTCTGACTTTCTGGTGTCTATTTGGAGATAAGAGTCTCACGGAGTTTCCTGCCCAGGCAGTATCTAAGATTTACAGGCATAAGCCATCAGCACTGGGCTTTCAGTTATTTATTTAAGCCCTTATTTATATTAGTATTTATTCATGGACATTAATTTTCTTTGTGTTATAACTAATCATTTATTTTGTGGCTCACATTTGCCCCAGATTTGGCCATTGGGGGCTCCTACAGATGGAAATCTAGTGTGCATTTAAATCTCTTTCTTTCTTTTTTTTGTTTGTTGGTGATGAGGCTTGAACTCTGGGCCTGGGCGCTGTCCCTCAGCTCTTCAGCTCAAGGCAAGCACTGTACCACTTGAGCCACAAAGCTGCTTCCGGTTTTCTGATGGTTTATTGGAGATAAGAGTCTCACAGAGTTTTCTGTCCAGGCTGGCTTTGAACCGTGATCCTCAGATCTCAGCCTCCCGAGTAGCTAGGATTACAGGCATGAGCCACTAGCATCTGGCTTAAATCTGTGTGTGTGTGTGTGTGTGTGTGTGTGTGTGTGTGTGTGTGTGTGTGTGTGTGTGTGTGTTCTGGGGCTTGAAGTAAGGGTCTATGCTCTTTTTTTTTTTTTGCTCAGGGTTGGTGCTATACCACTTGAGTCATTCCTTAAACCTCATGTTTTTGCTGGCTAGTTGGAGATAAAAGTTTCAAAGACTTGACTGTCCAGGGTTAGCTTTGAACCTGGATCCTCAGATCTTAGTTACTTAAATAGCTAGGATTTTAGGCATGAACCCTCCAGTGCGTGTCTCTTCTTTTTGAGCTCATCTGTTTTTGCTTTTAAAATATGTATCAGGTTCACTTGAGCTTGCTCTTCCTTGGTCCTGCTAATCAGCTGTTTCCCCCAAAAGACCATTGGAGAAGGGTGTTAAGAAGATGAAAGTTATGGGTGCTAGGTATTTTATTTGAAGAAAGCTTTGTTGGCTCTTGATGGAAATTGGAAATGAACGCTGGTTTTCTAGTGCTGCCTGGAAGAGCACCTGGCTTCTGATATACCACATCTGGGTAGTACTGCAGACATCATTTAGGGGACCAGTACCTACCCTGAGTGCCTGCTGCTTGCTTGTTAATCACAGATCAGAGTCATGCCTCCCTTGGGTGCTTGTCAAATTAGCACCATTGCTTAAATAGCTTAAATAGCAACAACAACAACCACAACCCTAGTGATGTTTGAGAAAACAAAGACTCCAGGGCTGTGATGCACTCTGATAGGAAGAGTGGAAACTTGGGGGGAAGCTTCAGCCACGGCCCAACCTCTATACTTGGGGAGCCTGAGTCACTGGCCAGGATCCCTGGAGACACTGGAGGTATTGTGCAAACTGGCTCAGAACAAACCACTGGTCAGTCTCTGCCACAATCATCACACTTTGTGGTTGGCAACAGCTTCTGATCTAGTCATTGTAAGATATCTGATTTCTGCATTTGTGGTTTCTTTTCTCTCTTACCAGCTCTTTCAGTCCAGCTCTTTCCATATCCAATTTGGTACCTCAATCAGTCTTCTTCTGCCAAAGAGTAGGCATACAAAGATAAGATCTGGAAACGTTTTTTTCCTTTAAGAAAAATTCTCTCTCTCTCTCTGCATGCATGCATTCGTGCATGCATGTGTACATAATACATATATGCATTAGAATACAAAAAGGGTTTTGTTGTGACATTTGCGTATCTGTATATGCTGTACTTGGACTAAATTTCATCTATATTACCATCTATATTACTATATATTTTTTTGTCAGTCATGGGGCTTGAACTCAGGGCCTGTAGGCTGACCCTGAGCTCTTTTGTTCAAGGTTGGTACTCTATCACTTTGAGCCACAGCTCCACTCCCTGTTTTCTGGTAACTCATTGGAGATAAGATTCTCATGGACTGCCTAGGTTGGCTTTGAACCTCAATCCGCAGATCTTGCTACCAGCATATGGCTTATATTACTATTTCTTTTTTTGGTGGGGGGAGTCCGGTCGTGGGCTTGAACTCTGGGCCTGGGCGCTTGTCCCTCAGCTCTTCAGCTCAAGGCTAGCGCTCTACCACTTGAGCCACAGCGCCACTTCCGGCTTTTTTTTTTCTGCTTATGTGGTTCTGAGGAATCGAACCCAAGGCCTCATGCATGCAAGGCAAGTGCTCTACCACTGAGCCACCTTCCCAGCCCCTATATTACTATTTCTTCATTACTTTTTTCCTCTTTTTAACAATTTTTAGTGAATATAATTTGCTATTATAGTATATATATATTCACAGTATGTAATATATAATACATATTATGTCCTTATATAATGCATATTACATTCATATTATATATATAGCATATTACATTTGTATTATGTACATATTATATATCAAATTCATATTATACATAAATATCCTTTGATTATAGTTATTCCCCATTAACCTCCCTTTTTCTCTTCCCTCATCCTTTTTGGATCTCCCTCAGCAGTCTTAACTTTTTTTTTTTGTCCGGTCATGGGCCTGAACTCTGGGCCTTGGCGTTGTCCTCAGCTCTTTAGCTCAAGGCTAGCGCTCTACCTCTTGAGCCACAGTGCCACTTCTGGCTTTTTTTCTCTGCTTATGTGGTACTGAGGAATCGAACCCAGGGCCTCATGCGTGCAAGGTAGAGCCATCTTCCCAGCCTGCAGTTTTGCTTTTATAATCATCTCATTATCATCATCATTATCAACAATATTACTGTTATTATTTCTAGGTCTAGATTCTGCATATGAGTGAAGACATGTGATATTTGTCTTTCTGAGCCTAGTTTATCTAGCACAACATGATGATCTCCATTTCCATCCACTTTCCTGCAAAAAAATAATAATTTCATTCCTTGCTGAATAATCCTCCTTGGTGTATATCTTTTCTCATTCACTTTATCTGTTCGTCAGTTGTTGTCACTTAGCCTGATTCATATCCTGGCTAGTGTGAATAATGCTGCAGTAATCATGGATACGCAGGTGTATTTATTCTATGCAGACTTACATTCCTTCAGATATATACCCAGGATAGGAGAGTCAGATGGTAGATGTATTTTTAGTTTTGTGATGAGCCTCCATACTGATTTCCATAGTATCTGCACTAGTTCACATTCCCATCTATAGTATAATGGTTCTTCTTCCTTCCCTCCCACATCCTTGCTGGTTTTCTTGATAGCCATTCTGATTGGGGTGAGATGAGATCTCAGTGTTTTGATTGGCTGGAATTTGTCTTATTGAGAGATAGTTTGTTTGTTGTTGTTTTCTTCTCTCTTCAAAGCCTGCCTGGATGTACAGAAGCAAAAGGTTTGTCATTCAAGAAAGGTGTTAGTTTTCATTTGATTTCTTTTTTTTTAATCAGTAGCAGGGCTTGAACTCTGGGCCTGGGTGCTGTCCCTCAGCTCTTCAGCTCAAGGCTAGTGCTCTACCACTTGAGCCATGGCTCCACTTCTGGTTTTCAGGTAGTTAATTGGAGATAAGAGTCTCACGGACTTTCCTGCCTGGGCTGGCTTTGAACCATGGTCCTCAGCCTCCTGAGATCTCAGCCTCCTGAGAAGCTAGGATGACAGGCATGAGCCACTGGTGCCCGGCCTTATTTTCATTTGAAACCTCTAAAATTCTTGTCTCACTGAGAACATAGCTTATTTAAACTTCAGTTTCTTTTCTTTTTTTAAATATGGAGACTCTCAAGCAGAGGAGTTCATACAAAGTATACTGTCCCAGTCATGTTCCCATCTTTCCATTCTAATGACCACTCGCCAAAGGATAGTCAGAATTGTACTCCATCCTCATATAAAAAAAAAATAAAAAAGAACTAACAGGTAGCACGTAGTTTCATGTGCAGATATTTTGTTACATACTTTTGTTTTTTTGGGGGGTGCTGGTCCTGGGACTTGAACTCAGGACCTAGGCACTGTCCTTGAGCTTTTTTTTTTTTTTGGCTCAAGGCTGATGTTCTACTACTTGAGCCATATCTGGCTTTTTATTGGCTAATTGGAGATGAGTGTGTGATGGGATTTCTTGCCTGGGCTGACTTTAAACTGTGATCTTCAGATCTCAGCCTCTTGAGTAGCTAGAATTACAAGCATGAGCCACCAGCACCCAGCTTTTGTTATATTTTCTTGTGGTAAGCTTCCTTTTCATTATCACAGTAATTAAAATTAATCATTGCCAGGTGTGGTGGTCCAGGACTCTGGACACTAAGACAAGAGAACCCTGAGTTCAGGCCTAACTGGGCTACCTAGTGAGACCTTGTATTGAAGGAAATTAAATTAATAATAACTCTTTAATATTGTCATATTTTTACTCTGTTCAAATGCACGTTCTTGCTTTCATGATTTTTACAGAATCAAAAATTGTGGAAAATTGGGAAATTTGATTTATCCCACTCCTCAGTCCTGAATTTTTTAGATTGTCTTTTTTTTCCCTCCTTGCCATTTATTTGTTGATACAAGATCACTGTCCTGTAGAGTTGTTTTTTTTGTTTTTTTTGGGGGGGGGGTTGGGTCTGATCGTGGGGCCTGAACTCTGGGCCTGGGTGCTGTCCCTCAGCTCTTCAGCTCAAGGCTAGCGCTCTACCACTTGAGCCACAGTGCCACTTCTGGGTTTTTTTCCCCCTGCTTATGTGGTGCTGAGGAATCAAACCCAGGGCCTCATGCATGCAATGCAAGCGCTCTACCCACTGAGCCACCTTCCCAGCCCCTGTCCTGTAGAGTTATAGACTGGATTTTACTGTTTGTATCTCCATGGTAATATTTAACGTGTTCCTCTACCCCGCCCCCCCCCCCCCCCCCTTTATTTTCTGTGAAGAGAATTTTTTTTTTTTTTTTGCCGGTCATGGGGCCTGAACTCTGGGCCTGGGCGCTGTCCCTCAGCTCTTCAGCTCAAGGCTAGTGCTCTACCACTGGAGCCACAGCACCTTTTCCGGTTTTTTCTGCTTATGTGGTACTGAGGAATCGAACCCAGGGCCTCATGCATGCGAGGCAAGCACTCTGCCACTGAGCCACCTTTCCAGCCCTGAGAATATTCTTTTACAGAGATGAGGGACTAAGGTAGTGCTGTAAACTTCTGGTTGAGTTGTACATGTGAGGCTATTCATTACAAAATGGTGATTATCCTTTCATAATCCCTTTATTATTGCTGCAATATTCCAATAAAGAGAAAATTTGTATCAACTGTTTAGTTATCGTGAGGTATAGTTAGTATAGGATAGAATAAAATGTTTGATTCCTTTATTTATTTATTTTTGTTTGGTTGAGGCAGTTATAGTGACTTGAACTCAGGGCCTCTATGTCTTGCTTAGTTGTTTCCAAGCTCAAGGCTGGTGCTCTACCACTTGAACTGTACCTCTGCTTCTCACTTTTTTTTGTCATCATGGGGCTTGAACTTTGGGCCTGGGTGCTTCTCTGAGCTCTTCAGCTCAAGGCTAGCTCTCTACCACTTGAGCCACAGTGCCACTTCGGTTTTCTGATGGCTTATTGGACTTAGTCTCACAAACTTTCCTGCGTGAGCTGGCTTTGAAAACCACGATCCTCAGATCTCAGCCTCCTGATGCCTGGCTGCTTCCTACTTTTTGGTGGCTGATTGAACTTTCCTGTCCAGGTTGTCTTTGAACTACAATCTTTAGATCTCAGCCTCTTGAGTAGCTAGGGAAAGGAGACTTTACTTAGCCTTGTTTTCCAGGCCTCTTTGCCTATGCCCCTTCTTTGTGATGTTGGCTTCCTTCAGGCTAGATTATTTGGTCAAGAGAGACTGCATTCTATTTGGGAGAGCTAGGCCCTGCTCTGACTTGCCCTGTCCAAACTCTCCTTACTCCCATTCAAACTGGGATCCTAAACCAACAAATTCAAATTTCTTGGTATAATTGATTGTATCAAGGTGAATTAGCTTCTGATTCTAATATACTTTCTTTTCTTTCAGGAAAAAAAATGCTAAAATCAAGACAGGGTACAAACGTGAGCACATCAATCTGGGCTGCGACGTGGACTTTGACATCGCTGGGCCTTCGATCCGGGGTGCTCTGGTGCTGGGTTATGAGGGCTGGCTGGCAGGCTACCAGATGAATTTTGAAACTGCAAAGTCCCGAGTGACCCAGAGCAACTTTGCTGTTGGCTACAAGACGGATGAATTCCAGCTTCACACTAATGTGTAAGTGGCTGAGTGTGGGGTTTGAGTGTATGTGTGTGAAAGGGGAGCCATTTTTCACTGTCACTATCATTATTATTATTATTTTGTTTCAGTACTAAGGCTTGACCTCAGGACCCGGACACTATTCAATCCCTTAGCTTTTTGCTCAGGGCTGGCACCCTACCACTTGAGCTACAACTCCACTTGGTATTTCCTTTATGGATTGGCTTTGAACCATGATCCTCAGATCTCAGCCTCCTGAATAGCTAGGGTTACAAGCATAAGCCACTGGTGCCCAGCTTTATTTATCCTAAACTCAATTATTAATTATTGTAATGTGAATTTGTTGGCACTCGATGAACCAAATGGCTTTTGAGCATTTTTGTTTTTCCTACCTACCAACCTACCCATACTGGCTGTCTTTGGTTCTTTTGTTCTGGGAAGCACACGTACCACCCTGGTGTGTACACAGGATGACTGGGTAATGACAGCAGAGGCATGAGGTATGAGTCCAGAGGGGTGAGCCATTGCTGCAGTTTTCTGGGTGCAAGATGGAGGTGGGTAGATATATTTCTCTGCTTGGCATAATGCTGTGCTTGATGAAATAGATTTGTGGTAGACAGATGAGATGATTATTAGTGCAGTGTAAAGGGTTTTCTCAGCACCATGGACATTTAATAGTTTAGCAACTGCCAGACTGTATAGTGAAGAAAAGAGAAGGTGGCAGGTTAGAGGTTAGAGAGAGCCCCTGATCAGTCTTGAGTTTTGAAGGACAGTGATGATTTTTAGGCTGAGGAAAATGAACATTTCAAGTATAAAAATAGCTAGGTTCCTGTGGCTCACGCTTATAGTCCTAGTTTACTCAGGAGGATGAGATCTGTGGATTGCAGTTCAAAGCCTGCCCAGGCAGGATAGTCTGTGAAACTCTTATCTCTAATTAACTACAAAAAAGCCAGAAGTAGAACTGTGGCTCAAGTGGTAGAGCACTAGCCTTGAGGGAAAAACCTTAGGGACAGTGCCAAGGCTCTGAGTTCAAGCAAGCCCCAGGATTGGTACAAAAAAAAAAAAATCTGGTTTTTATTTCTTGAGCAAATTAACCTGTGGCAATTATGGTTTCAACTTTACTGAGTTTTATTCTTCCCACTAGAGGTCACTAAATAGGCAACTTAAACTTAGCCCAGTAAGGCGTTAGTTTGTAAACTACTTCTTTCATTAATAGCAGTTTAAAAATTATTTTTTATTAAGCAGTTGTTTCAATTCCACGACTCAGGTTATGAGTACAATGTATTTTAGTCAATATCACTCCTTCCACAGTTCTTCCTGCTCATTCTCCTTCCCATCTATGTTCTCCAGTTACACTGTTCGTTTTACATCATGTACATTGAATAGAATGACCACATTTGCTTATCTTTCATCTTTCCATTTGTGTACCCCACCCTATCCCAGAATGTGTTTTAGCTTCCTGCTATTCATTTCATTAAACAGTAAGTTAATTGTTCAGAGGAATTACACTATTGGTCTCGTCTCCTAAATATAACATCCTTTAGTAAATTTATTTGTGCATCTATGCATATAATTTTGTATATGTTATCATGTATGTTTGTTTAATTTTTATTTTTGTCCATCATGGGGCTCACACTAAGGGCCTGGGAGCTGTCCCTCAGCTCTTCAGCTCAAGGCTAGTGCTCTACCATTTGAACCATAGCACCACTTCTGGTTTTCTGATAAGCTCATGGACTTTCCTGTCCAAGCTGGCTTTGAACTGTGATCCTCAGATTTCAGCCTCCTGAGTAGCTAGGATTACAGGCATGAGCCACTGGCACCCAGCTTGTATTTTATATCTAACTTCCACATGTGAGAGTGCAAATGACACTGTGCAAATAACAGTGTGGTGGTGGGAAGAAGGGTAAGGGGATTGATCAGACTTCTGTGGGTAGAAGACCACAAAGTTGATTTCTGTGTGTATATGTGTGTGTGTGTGTGTGTGTGTGTGTGTGTGTGTGTAATGTAGCTTGATCAGGGATCTCCTTCAGGGAATGGTTTTTATTTTATTTTTGTTGATCAGGGCCTGGGTACTGTCCCTGAGCTTTTTTACTCAAAGCTAGCCCTCTACCACTTTGAGCCACAGCTCCACTTCTGGTTTTCTGGTGGCTAATTAGAGATAAGAGTCTCAGGGACTTTCCTGCCCAGGCTGGCTTTAAACTGCAATTCTCAGATCTCAGCCTCCCAAGTGTCTGGATTAGAGGACTGAGCCACCAGTGCCCAGCCTGAGTAATGGTTTTAAAAGCTGGCTCAAGTAGTAGAATGTTAGCCTTGAACAAAAATCACTTAGGGCATAGATGTTCTTCCTTAGCTTTTTCAGTCAAAGTGGCAGACACAGGTCTAATTCCAACTTTTAAATTATTTATTTATTTATTTATTTTGGGGGGTAATTGGAAATAAGAGTCCAGCAGACTTTCCTGCCTGGCTGGCTTTGAACTCTGGCTTTGATCTCAGCCTCTTGAGTAACTAGGATTATAGGCGTGAACACCAGCGCCGAGCTTGGCTGCTTCTATTTTCTAGAGCATTGGAAAGCAAACTTCAGGTTCTGTGCAGCATGAGTGGATGTTTTGTTCCCAGTGATGCTCAAGCAAGCAATTACCTTCTGATCCTTTGCAACTCTTCTTTATCTCTGTCTTGTTCTCATCAGGCCTCGCGTACTTTAGCACCTGATTTGTGCAGTTTGGCAAGCTTCTGGTGATCTCAGTGTCAAGGGTTAAGCTTATTTTATTTCTAGCATCTCTGCCATTGGGTTGACTTATTCAGCCTCTGCCTCGTCTCTGTCCCATTTCCCTGGGCAGTTGGGTTTTCATTCAACTGTTCTGTGTTTGTTTTTCAGGAATGATGGGACAGAGTTTGGTGGCTCCATTTACCAGAAGGTGAACAAGAAGTTGGAGACCGCTGTCAATCTTGCCTGGACAGCAGGGAATAGTAACACTCGCTTTGGAATAGCAGCCAAGTATCAGATAGACCCTGATGCCTGCTTCTCGGTGGGTGCCTATGGGTGCATGCATCTCACAGGATTGCTAGAGTCCAGTGCTTCTGCTCAAGAGATTGAAGAGTTCCAAACAAGACTGGATGTTAATAGTAATAGTACTTACTGTGGATGCAGGCATTGTGGGGAGCCTTTTACATGTGTGTTATTGTATTTAATCCCATTTGGAAGAGGTCCTTTGTTACTTTTTTTTGGCAGTCCTCAAGCTTGAACTCAGGGCCTAGGCACTGTCCTAAGCTTTTGTGCTCAAGGCTGGTGCTTTACCACTTTGAGCCACAGTGCCATCTCTGGCTTCTTGGTGGTTAACTGGAGATAAGTGTCTTCATGGACTTTCCTGCTCTGGATGGCTGTGAACTGTGATCCTCAAATCTCAGCCACCTGTGTATGTGTAACTAGGATTATAGGCGTGAGCCACTGGTGCCTGGTTTCACAGTTTTTTGTTTTTTTTTTGCTCAAGGCTGCTAGGCAGTACTACTTGAGCCACAGCTTCACTTCTGTCTTCCTGCTGGTTAACTGGATATAAGAGTTTCTGGGATTCATCTGCCTAGACTGGCTTGGGATCATAATCTTCATACCTTTTTTTTTGGATCTGGTCGTGGGGCCTGAACTCTGGGCCTGGGTGCTGTCCCTCAGCTCTTCAGCTCAAGGCTAGCGCTCTACCTCTTGAGCCACAGCACCACTTCCGGCTTTTTTCTTTTTGCTTATGTGCTGCTGAGGAATTGAACCCAGGGCCTCAGGCATGCAAGGCAAGCGCTCTACCACTGAGCAACCTTCTTAGCCCCAATAATCTTCATACCTTAGCCTCATGAATAGCTAGGATTATAGGTATGACCTACCAGTGCCTGACATAATTTTCTTTTCTTTTTCAAGTTATCTCTCTTTTTATGTATGAGAAACTGGAGGCTTACAGAGGTTGACTGACTCAGTCAAAGGCACAGTATTGGTTCGCATTGGGGCCTGGATTGGACCATGCTAACTTGCTAACCAGACCTTTTTCCATGACTCAAAATGTAACAGAGGGAGCTTTGCCTGAAACCTAGAGTTCTGTATGCTCAGCTTAATTTTCAGTCCCTGCAGTGCACATTAAAAAAATTAGTCATAGGCCAGGCACTGGTGGCTCATGCCTGTAATCCTAGCTACCCTGGAGACTGAGATCTGAAGATCACAGTTTTATTCCAGTTCAAGCAGGAAGTGTGTGGGACTCTTATCTCCAATTAATCCCCAGAAAACCAGAAATTGCACTGTGGCTTAAAGAGCTAGAGAACTAGCCTTGAGCAAAAGAGCTCAGGAACAGCATCTGAGTTCAAGCCCATGATCCCCCCTACACCTGCAAAAAAAAAAAAAAAAAAATCAGTCATAGCAATGTGCTGTTGGCTCATGCCTATTTTCTTAGTTATTTAGGAGGCTGAGATCTGAGAATCATGTTTCAAAGCCAGTGGAGCAGAAAAATCCATGAATCTTATATCCAATTAACCAACAAAAAGCCAGAAGTGGAGCTGTAGCACAAGTAATAAGAACACTAGATTTGTGTGAAAAAGCCAGGTAAGAGCAGGAGGTCCTAGTTCTGGTACAAAAAGAAAAAGAATGCTGGACACTGGTGGCTCACGCCTGTCCTAGCTACAGAGGGGGCTGAGATCTGAGGATCACGGTTCAAAGCCAGCCTGGGCAGAAAAGTCCGTGAGACTCTTATCTCCTTAACCACTAGAAAACTGAAAATGGTGGTGTGGCTCAAGCGGTAGAGCGCTCGCCTTGAGCTGAAGAGCGCAGGGACAGCGCCCAGGCCCTTAGTTTAAGCCCCACGACCGACAAAAAAAAAAGAAAAAGAATTCAGTCCTTAGATCAGCATAGTAGTGTATGTCTATAATCCAAGCACTTGGGAAGCTGAGGCAAAAAGATTAGAGTTTCAGGCCAGCCTAGGCTACAGAGGAGCTCCTGTCTGAAAAACAAAAGATAAAGAAATCAGTGATTGGGGCTGGGAATGTGGTTTAGTGGTAGAGTGCTTGCCTAGCATGCATGATATCCTGGGTTTGATCCCCCGGTACCACATAAACAGAAAAGGCCGGAAGTGGCTCTGTGGCTCAAGTGGTAGAGTGCTAGCCTTGAGCAAAAGAAGCTCAGGGACAGTGCCCAGGCCCTGAGTTCAAGCTCCAGGATTGTCCCCCCCCCAAAAAAAAAAAAATCACTGATCAGATGTCATTTTACACTATAGCATTTCTCATGAGTCTTGCTTGAATGGTTATAGTTTTTGCAATGATTCCTGCTGGGCTAATTTCTGTTGTCAGGGGACACTGTAGCCTGCACCCTGCTCTGGGTGGAATGAGGAAGTCTCATGTTGCCAAATAGTTCTTGCTTGCTTAATCTGGAGAGAGTTGGGTTCTCCTGAACTGGGAACTGAACTTCTCTCCTTAGCATGAGGCACATTAAAACACAGGCAGAAGAGACTTGATTGGATGTGATGAGCAAAACAGAATAGTTAGAAGGAATACTGCCTGCCAAAAGCCTTCATTCTCCCTTGCTTTGTTTCCAGTGTAAGAGTGCACAACAACTTGAGCAGGAAAATGTGTGCTTACATTTGGTACATTTTCAAATTGAATTTAATGAATCCTATAAAGGAAGTGGTCACCAGGGGAGGTAATTTGATTCTGAAGCTTAGAGTTGGTTGATTAAAAAGCTCTTATTCACTTTCAAGATGTAATTTCAAAACCCTTCATGTTTTCACTTGCTTGGCCTTATCTCTTTTTCTATTTAGGCCAAAGTGAACAACTCCAGCCTGATTGGACTAGGGTACACTCAAACCCTAAAGCCAGGTATGTCTTAACTCCTGTGAGAAGTCAGTTCTCTGTTAAAAAAAATGGGGTGTTGGCTTGCTGATATATGCCATTGCTTATAAAATGCCTGTAGTAGGATAATTGTAAAGGAATTTTTTTTTTTTTTTTTGGTTGGTTGTGGGGCTTGAATTCAGGGCCTGGGTGCTCTCCGTGACCTTTTTGTTCAAGGCTGATACTCTATCACTTGAGCCACATAGCTCAAGGTTTTTTTGGTGGTTAATTGGAGATAAGTCTCACAAACTTTCCTGCCTGGGTTGTCTTTGAACTGCAATCCTCAGATCTCAGCTTCCTGAGTAGGATTACAGGTGTGAGCTGCTGGCACTGAGATATGTTTTTTGGGGGGCTATTTTCTCCTGTCCTTTCTTTGCAGTGTATAAAATATGTGGTATTTATCTCTAATAGGTCCTCACAGCTAGCTTATAAATCATCACATTGCCCAAAGACAATAAAATAAAATGAGTGGTTTGCAGCTGTTCTGCACCGCTGGCTAGGCCAGTCCGTGGTGTGTGAGAGATCCAGGAGCACCACCACCTTGAACCCTGTAAGGTTGACTAACATAATGTTGGAATCAAGTTGCCTTTGGGAGAATTAGCCCGTTAAATTTAAGATTACAAACTACTCACAGGACATTCATTATGTTTATGTGTGCATGCACGCTGTGCATGTATGCACACTCTGTGAAGGTGAATGCCAAGCCTCAGGCCTGATTCAGGGTTGGAATTTCCTCTGGGGATGATTGTGCAAGCAGTAAACTGTGTGGTACCAGTGAGAGACAGGCTAAATTGCTGTAGTGAGACAATGAGAGGGAAAAAAAAGTGGGAGGCCCAGAAGTGTATCTGGGTAGATTCTCTGCTCTGTGGAACAGGGCTAGTTCTTATGTAAGTTCCTGCTAGGACATCTGCTGGTCAAATGGCATTCTAAAAGGAGCAGCACAAGAGTCAGGTAGTTTGGCTTTGACCAATCATGTTTGGAGCAAGTTCTGAATTTGGGGTTAACTTCTCTTTTCTTTCCTCCATCTTTTCCCCTTTATTCTCTCTGGCTTCTGCCCTGCAGGTATCAAACTGACGCTGTCAGCTCTGCTGGATGGCAAAAATGTCAACGCCGGCGGCCACAAGCTTGGTCTAGGACTGGAATTTCAAGCATAAATGAATACTGTACAATTGTTAATTTTAAGCAGCATAGCTACCTTCAGAATTTAGTGTACCTTTTAATGTTGTCTGTTTGGGATGCAAGAATGCTAAATATTATGTTAGATCTCCAGGTTTAAAGATGATTCAGCTTTAAGGTGTTACAGAAGAAACCCGATTCCAAAAAAGATCCTTTCAGCTGTAGCATAGGGGAGAACTTAGTAGCCCCTCTAAAGATGCCAGGTTTCTTCGTTTTTAAATCTAGGAATTGCGGCAAATGGAAACTAATAATGAACTGTAGGTTCTTTGTTAATCTGTATTGAGTCAGTGAATGAAATTGTGACTTCCTGAGATTTGAACCTTGCTCTCCTTAACTCTTATTGATGAGAAGTTCTCATTGCTCGATGGTGTGTAAGACTCATCTGAAAGGGACTTTTCAGACAGATCTTCATGCCCCAGTTTCCACCCTAGCCCATCATCCAACCTCTTTTACAACCAAAAGTAGTCAGCAGGGTGTTTTAGTTATTTCTTTTCGTGCCATTTTTGGGTGGAGAGGGTGGGTATGATGAAGCCAATAATTCAGGACATAATTCTTTTTCGTGTTGTGGTTTTTCTTTTCACCCTTGCACGGAGTTTGAAATCACTTCCAGGAGCTCCAGATACACACTGGAAAGAGCCTGTATGACTGTAATCACATGGTGACAACACTAAAAATCTAAATTGGACTTCTGTTATATTCTCACCACTCAATTTATTTTTTAGCAATTTAATGGGTACATTATAGAGTCTTCCATTTTGTGTGGAATTAGGTCCTTCCCCTTCCAATGCTGTAATTAACATCACTTAAAATAAAACTTGAATAAAATATTGAAACCTCACCCTCCTGTTGTCATTATTAATAAAAATAGAAATGAACAGAGCATTGGTTTTGATTTATTCGTTGTTCCCTTATTGGTTTTTCTCTCATTATACAAAAGACTATATACCTGTTAGGGTTGTGAGTTGTTTGTTTTTGTTGTTGTTGTTGTGTTTTTGGTCAGTTGTGGGGCTTGAACTCAGAGCTGGATGCTGTTCTTGAGCTTTTTTGCTGAAGGCTGGTGCTGTACCACTTGGAGCCACAGCACTACTTCCCCTTTTTTTTTTTGGTGGCCAATTGGAGATAAGAGTCTCATGGACTTTCCTGCCCTGCCTGGCTTCAAACTGTCATCCTCAGATCTCAGCCTCCGGAGTAGCTAGGATTATAGGTGCGAGCCACCAGCACCTGGCAGGATTGTGATTTTTGAGGCCAGACTGGGCTACATAGCCAGACCCTATTCCAAAGCAAATCATAAAACCTTCACTTGTTTATATTTTTTGCAGGAGCCTGGGCAGGTGTGTGGGCTCTGCACAGGTTCTCATAATGCTTGAAACTGAGTTGCCAACCAAGTTTTGTTCTCATCAGCAAAATGCTTGACATCCTCCACATGGTTTAGCAGGAGTCCTTTTTTGGTTGTAGCGTAGAAGTCCTTATTTCCTTGTCAACAGCTCGGGACCATTCTCTGGGCCTGGAGCACACCAGAATGTTATCTTTATATCTAGTACCAAGAATACAAAAACTGCTCCTGTCTAATTCCTCTTATACTTGAAATCTCTTCCAGGAAGATCTCATCCTTTTTTCTTTATGTGTCAGTACTCAGAGCTTTATGCTCTCAGCTTTCTTGCTCACAGCTGGTGCTCTACCACTTGAACCATACATCTGGTAAAGGATTATTTTTGCTAGTTAATTGTAGAGGGAGTGACAAGGACTTTTTCTGGTTTCAAACTGACTGTCTAGCTCTCAGCCTTCTGCATATCCAGGATTACAGGAATGAGCCATTACCGTGTCCCCCTTCCCCCCACCCCTGTTTTTGTTGTTGGTTGTGGGCTTGAACTCTGGGCCTGGGTGCTATCCCTCAGCTCTTCAACTCAAGGTGAGTGCTCTACCACTTGGGCCACAGCACCACTTGTGTTTTTCTGGTAGTTAATTGGAGATAAGAGTCTCATGGACTTTCCTGCCTGGGCTGGCTTTGAACTGCGATCCTCAGGTGGCTAGGATTACAGGCGTAAGCCACTGGCACCTAGCTACCTTGTCCCTTTTAAGGGCTGATTAGATTAGGCATTCTCCCTACCCAAGGATGATTTTTCTCTTCCAGAAAGTTACGTGCTTGGTGAAATAACCTAATCAGGTATAAAAAACCCATTATATTCATAAGTTTCTACCAGTAGGCCACAGCCAGGGGTCATTTTGGAGTTTGCTCTAGAAGTTCACATACATGCAAATTAAATTTATGTTTGTGTAAATTTGTCCATTTTAATGTTCCTGATACACGTTTTTTTGTCTTCAACTGAATATGGTGTGTGTGTGTGTGTGTGTGTGTGTAAGCATACATCAACATCTGATAGTCACATTTAGAAATAACAGCTGTTATCCCTCTGAGTCTGACACTCCCTGATTTAAAATTAACTTGATTGTAGAATTTCATCCATAATGTCAGTGATTTCTACCTGCACATTGTCCAACCTCAACAAATAACTCCATTTTTGCTTTTAGGCAGATTTTTTTTTTTGGGAGGGGGGTACTGGGGCTTGAACTCAGGGCCTGGGCACAGTCCCTGATCTGCTTTCGCTCAAGGCTAGCACTCTGCCACTTGATCCTCAGTGCCACTTCTGGCTTTTTTCTTTGTATGTGGTACTAAGAAATCAAACCCAGGGCTTCATGTATGCAAGCACTCTACCACTAAGCCACATTCCCAGACCCTGAATTTTTTTTTACTTTTTTGATGTTTGAAAGTGGTATTTCTAAAGTATCAGAACTTTGTGAGGTAGCTCATGCTACTTGGTAGGCTGAGATCAGGAGTCAGAAACAAGGTTAGCCTGGGTAAAAGCAGACCCCAATATGCTGAGTATGGTGGCTTATCTTCCCAGTTATTTGGTAAGCATAAATAGACTGCAGTCCTGGCTGGAATAGCATATAAGACCCTATCTCAAAATTGACCAAAGCCAAAAGGGCTGGGTGCATGGCTCAAATGATAGCCTGTCTAATAAGCTCAAAGCCCTGAGTTTAAACCCTAATACTTCCCAAAGAAGAAAAAATGATCAGACTTTTAGTATTTTGTTAAGCTGTCCAGACACTGTGCCCCTCAGTATTTGTCATAATGTCATCAGGCTTATAAGGACATGCAGCTGTTATATTTTGAAATATACATATACATATATATATATATATATATATATATGAGTCCTCTGAATATGAGAAAATATTTTACATACAAGTTATTTATTATATGCCTATTGTATGCAGTGTGTTGTGATATATCACCATGCAAAACATTCATTAAAAGATTTGAGGCAAATTTGTTATGGGGACAAATGAGCAAAGTATCAAAGGAGAGGACTGCAGTGTGTTAAATTTATAATAGCCTTCTTCAAGTCTGAAACAATCTCCAAACAAGTTAGGACTGAAGCGGCTTATTCCTGAAAATGAATGGTGTTTTCTGTCTACTCAAACTCCTGGGCACTTGGCAAGATTGTGTGCTTTGGCTAACCTGGAGGGTTGCAGTAAGGGCACCATTCCCTCAAAGGGCTCGTGGTAGACTTCTGAAAATGAGATGAATGACTTCTTAGTTTTCTTAACAAGAGTTTGTGTGTTTCTGTGCTGTCCTGGGGCCAGATAAATGGTGTGGGGAAACCTGATGGGGAACACAGGCCCTTCTTTGTAGATTTAGTTCGGTTGTCTTTGGGGACAGCGGCACTCTTCTGAGGAAATGACACAGGGCTGTGGACACAATAAATATGGACTTTGTGCTACATTGATTTCCTAAAAATTGATGAATGGAAGCTTGTAGGTGTTTATGAAGGAAACATTCACAGAACATGCAAAACAACAGCATTGTGTCAGGGCCCTCACAAAACTTCTTGGGAGTTTCTGAATCTTCATCTAGCAAGGCTTTTAGCTTACAAAATTTAAACCGCAATAGGAGTGTATTTTAGAAAGTCTGGAAGCTAGTTTTCAGGACTGCCTTCCCTGGTTTCCCTTCATAAACATATACGTGTGTGCGTATTATATCTATTATTATCATATATATGGTTTATAATTAGGTAACTATATAAACTAATAACTAATCAACTATAGCTATATATAACTTAACCAATACATAGAACTGTAACATATATACTTGCCATCTTAGGTAATGTATTCTTTACATTACAGTCTCCCTCACCAGGAAGTAAACTGCATATGCTTGGGGTTCATTCACTGTTGTACCCGAACTATGAAGTGAGTATTTGTTGAGATAATAAATGACTGCAGGGGAGGATAAGAATGATTAAAATTCCATCACTTACAGCTGCCCTCCATCGACATCTTCCTTTGAGTTCGCTCTCGCGAGTGACCTGTCACGTGGGAGGCAGACCGGCGCCCTTTCAGCGGCTCCGGCACCACGTCATCACGCTGGGACGTAGACGGCTCGGGCGCGGCGCCTTACGCATGTCCGGCGTCATGACGCAGAACCTAGCAACAGCGCAGGTTCCCGGCTGGTTCCGTTATGGCGGCTGCCGCCCTGGGGAAGATGAGAGGGGCCATGCCAACCAACCTGCTGCCGGTGTTGGGCATCCGGGTCCCCGGCGGCCTGGCGGGGCCGCTCGTCCTGGCGCTTCTGTTGGCTTCTGCCGTGCCTGCTGGTAAAGGGGACGCGGTGGCCCGACGGGCGTGAGGAGACGGCGAGGGCCGGGGCGCGGGGTCGGTCGGGAGCCGGGCCGGGCCGGGGAAGGCGCTTCCGGGTGTCCCGAGCGGACCGAGCCGTCTCTGGGCGGCCGGGGCGAGGAGCGGGTGCTGGGGGGGGGGTAGGGGGGCTAGTGGGGCGGGGAGAGGTCCGAGATGGTGGGATTTCCCAAGGCCTGGGAGGACAGGTTAGGAGATGTACGGCGAGGGGGAGTGGCGGCGGCGTCCCGAGCCTCTTGACCCAATGGCGGCCGTGGAAATCTCCAGTTTATTTTCATCTATTGATTTATTTTTGTGCTGGACCTCCCGAGGCTCGAACTCAAAAATCCTAAACTCAACATGCAGTAGACGGAAAGGAGGATGATTTAAGCCCGGAGCTGGTGCCTCACGCCTGTCATCCTAATTACACCCCCAAGGCTGAGATGGGAGGATCAGGGTTCAAAGCCCGCCTAGGCAGGAAAGTCTGTGAGACTCTTACCTCCACCGAACCACCAGAAAACTGCAAGTGGCGCTGTGGCTCCAAGTGGTAGAGCGCTGGCCATGAGCTGAAAAGGCTGAGGGACAGCGCCCAGAGGCCCTGACTTAAATCCCCACGATGACGACCACCACCAAGAAGAATAAACCTGCTATAAACATTGGTGTATGGGTTTCTGCCTTAACGTGCATTTTTGTTTCTCTGGGATAAATGTCCAAGAGTAAAATTTTGACTTAGATGCTAGTTGCGTAGATAAGTTGTTTTTTTTGACATGCTTCTAAATTGTTTTCCAGAGTAGTTATTTTATTTTGCCTTCTTACCAGTAACAAGTTTTCTCTGCATCCTTACCACCTTTTGATATTGTCATTATTAGGTTTTATTTTAGCCAGGCTGATAGATACGTAGCAATTTTGATTTTAATTTCTTTTGTTGCGATTAATTGGAAGTAAGAGTCTCATGGACTGTCCTGCCTGAGCTGGCTTTGAACTGCTATCTTTTGGGATATGATACCAGTGATGTGTGAGCTGGGAATGTGGCTTAGTGATAGAGTGTTTGCCTAGCACACATGATACCCTGGGTTCAATTCCTCAATACCACATACACAGAAAAAGCCAGAAGTGGCACTGTGGCTCAAGTGGTAGAGGGCTAGCCTTGAGCAGAAGAAGCTTGGCGACAGTGCCCAGGCCCTGAGTTCAAGCCCCAGGACTGGCTATGAAACAAAACAAAAAACAAGTGATGTTGGGGCTGGGAAGGTGGCTCAGTGGTAGAGTGTTTGCCTTGCATGCATGAGGCCCTGTGTTTGATTCCTCAGCACCACAGAAGCAGAAAAAGCTGGAAGTGGTGCTGTGGCTCAAGTGGTAGAGCGCTAGCCTTGAGCTGAGGAGCTGAGGAACAGCGCCCAGGCCCAGAGTTCAGGCCCCAGGACCGACAAAAAAAAAAAGAAAAACAAGTGATGGGAGACTTTTGTAATTATACAGCATTGAGGAAAAGACTTTTTTTTTGCTTCTCTTTTTTCTTCTCTCCTTAGACATTGAATATTCTAATGATTATTTAACATGTTAAAGAATGTTGAATTGTTACCCCCCAGTCCCTCCCCCCCCCAAGTCCTGGGGCTTGAACTCAGGGCCTGGGCACTGTCCCTGAGCTTCTTTTGCTCAAGGCTACCACTCTACCACTTGAGCCACAGGGACACTTCCAGTGTTTTCTGTTTATGTGGTAGTGAGGAATTGAACCCAGGGCTTCATGCATGCTAGGCAAACACTCTACCACTAAGCCACATTCCCAGCCCAGAATTTTTTTTTTGTTGTTGGTCGTGGGGCTTAAATTCTGGGCTTGGGCGCTGTCCCTGTACTCTTCAGCTCAAGGCGAGCGCTCTGTGGCTTGAGCCACAGCACCACTTCCAGCCCAGAATTGTTTATCATTGCTTTTACTAATCAATACTGTATTCATTGACACTTACCTTCAGAATTATTGAAAATACTTCCTTGTTATTTAAGTATGACTGTTGGAAATCAGTAGCCTTAAGTGCCATTAATATGAACTTAATATCATAAGAAGGTATCAGTAGAGTAATGACTAAAATTTGGAAAATGCCATAATAGTCTATTTTTTCACTGGTTTGCTTTTTTTTTTTTCTTTTTGTCGGTCGTGGGGCCTGAACTCTGGACCTGGGCACTGTCCTTCGGCTCTTCACTTCAACGCTAGTGCTCTACCACTTGAGCCACAGGGCCACTTCCAGCTTTTTTTTTTCTGCTTCTGTGGTGCTCAGGAATCGAACCAAGGGCCTCATGCATGCAAGGCAAGAACTCTACCACTGAGCCACCTTCCCAGCCCTAGAACAGACTTTTTTAGACAAGTTTTTTTTTTTTAAATTACTTTATTGAGATTGTGGTTACATAAGTTTCATAATACTGTGGGATAGTGATACTTAGCTAAAGTCACAAACACATTTTAACCTTCACAAGGCAAATTGTTATCATCATGGCCTATAAGGCTTGTGAACTCCACAAACTTTGACAGTACACTATTTCTTCCAAACAGGGTGATATGTACATTTCCTTTTGTTTAGTGTAAGCTGTTCCTTCTTTCTCATTCCTTCCCTCCCATAGCTGCCCATGAGTGGCTTATTTTCATCACTGTCCAGTGTAGCTGATGGGCCCCTCTGCTGTATTTTTTTTCACCTGTTAACCTCTGATCTTTAGACAAGTTTTTAAGTTCACATAAAAACAAATATACAAAGAGTATTCGGATATCTGTATATGCCCTTCACAGTTTGCCTTAGATCTCAGCCTCCTGAGTAGCTAGGATTACAGGCATGAGCCCCCAGTGCCTGGCTTGTGGTTTTAATTTGTGTCCCTAATGGTTAAATTTTTTCATGTACTGTAAGCATTATGCCCACCTTTGTTCCTCAGCTCCACCCAGACCTGAGCCTCCTCCCTGCCCTCCGTTCCTGCCATACAGCTGTATCTTCCCTCTCTCCACCCAGACCCACCTGAACTCCCATCTACCTCACTTCCTATCCCAGACCCCACTACTATCTAGATAGTGGAGGCTACCATGTGCGTTCTCTCCGGGGCACATATGGCTCCTCTAATAAACCTTGTAATAATCTTTCTTCTGTGCCTGCCTGCCTCCGCATGGTCCCCTGGGATGGATGTGACGGATCCTTTTGTGTACTTCAGTAAACGCACTGTGCTGAATAGGTAGCAGCACAGTAAAATAATTTATATGTTTTGGTGCCATTTCCTATACCTACATTGCCTTCCTCAATCTTAAAATTTGTCTAGTTGTCACTTAGCTTTCAATTTCTAATTCTTGTCTTTAAGGATTTTTCTCCTTCTGCTTCCTTTGTATCATTTTTTCTTTTAAATTTGAAGGAAGGAGTCTTTCAGTTCAAATATCATTTAGAAATGATATCTATAGCAGCGTATAGCTTCTCTCTCTGTCTCTTTCTTTCTTTCCAGTTCTAGGGTTTGAACTCAAGGCCTGAGTGCTGTCCTTGAGCCTCTTTGTGCTCAAGGCTAACATTTACCACTTGCTTTACCACTTGAGCCACAGCACCACTTCCAGCTTTTTCTCAATAGTTTATTGGAGATAAACTTTCCTGCCTGGGCAGACTTCTAACCTTAATCCTCAGATCTCAGACTCATGAGTAACTAGGATTACAGATGTGAGCCACCAGCCTCTGGCTATAGCTTAAATTTGTTATATAGTGTTGAAAGTATTAGGTCAGAATTCCTTATCTTTTATTTTTTGTGTGTGATCTGCTTGAGCCAGGATCAGGCCACCTCTCCATCTGTTCTGGGATGAGTGATCTTAAATGGTGATGAAGTCCAGCCTCTGTTAAAGGAAAACAATGTGGGGATGGGCATTTAGATCTGACTCTTTTTTCAGTACAGGCTATGCTACAGATATTATGCTGCACATTGTTACTATCTGGCAAAGCAACTGTCACTTAACAATAGCAGTAAGGGACCAGTTGTGGTAGTGAAATCCATGAGCCAGGCAGTCAAGAGACTAAAGAAATATAACAGATAGCCATTGAAATTTAACTACCTTGCAGAAAGTTATAACTCTTAGCAAAGAGGAATGCTTAGTGAAAATGGGTACAGAAGCTTTTTGCTTAGTGGAGTTAAAGGTGGAGATTCTTATATAATGTTTATCTTTATTTCCTATGTATTAGGAACAGAGCCCACTGGCCAACCTGTACAAAATACAGATATTTCTTCTTCAAACACGAATACTTTCTCACAGGAAAACAAAACCAAACCTTCTGTTTCTCAAATCAGTACCACTCTCCCTCCTCCAACTAGTACAGGGAAAAGTAGAGGAACATCTGTAGCTCCCCGTCCCTCACCTACTACCTCACTGTCCCAAGAGGAGGCTGAGAACAATGAGGATCCTAGCATGGAGGAGGAGGATCTTCTCACACTGAATAGTTCTCCATCTACCGTCAAAGACTCTCTGGACAATGGGGATTATGGAGAACCAGACTATGACTGGACCACCAGCCCCAGGGACGATGAGCCTGATGAGACTTTGGAAGAAAACAGGGGTTATATGGAAATCGAACAGTCAGTGAAATCTTTTAAGGCCCCATCCTCAGAAGTAGAAGAGGAAGATAGCCACTTCTTTTTCCACCTTATTATTTTTGCTTTTTGTATTGCTGTTGTTTATGTTACATATCACAACAAAAGGAAGGTAAGTTTGAGACTTTTTAAGTCCTTTTAGTTTTACTATCAGTTATTTTCAAATTACTTTTTAGTCAGGTTAAAAGTGGTGGTAAAAAGTTGGGTGTCTAATCAGTTTATAAATCTATGATGTATTTGAACAAATTACAGACAATAGAGGAAGAATTAGGCTGGCAGCATAGCTCAAGTAGTAGAGCACCTGCCTAGCAACTGTGAGGCTCTCTGAGTTTAATCCCCATACTGCTAAAAGATAAAAAAAGTCTTTATTTCTTTGAACGGACAAAGTCAAAGCTCACTTGTGTGTGTGTGTGTGTGTGTGTGTGTGTGTGTGTGTGTGCGCGCGCGCGCGCGCGCGCACGCGCGCGTGCACGTGTACATGGGTGCATGTGTTTTGAGACAAGATCTTTCTGTGTGGTCAAGGCTAGTCTGGAACCCATGATTCTCCTGCTTCAGCCTCCTGAGTCCTAAGATTATAGGTATGTGTCATTATACTTTGCTCCCTGGTGATTTTTTAAAAAATGGTTTATCTAGTATCACTGTTCCAGTGGAAATACTTGTGGAGCAAGAAAGTTTATTTACTAATTTTACCTTTTATTGTTGACCCCAGTGATTTTGCAGTAGCTTTTCTGGTTATGAAAGTATTACATGTTTATTTTATCTAATTAAGAAAATACAAGAGCTTAGTAAAATTTAGGCTGGGTATACTGGCACATATCTATACCCTAGGATTCAGGAGTTTATGGCTGGGGGAATCATACATTTGAGACCAGTTTACATAGTGAATTCTAGTATAATCTGAACTACATAATGAGACCTGGTCTCAAGAAAATCAAAGAAAGGGCTGGGAATGTGGCTTAGTGGTAGAGTGCTTGTCTTGCATGCATGAAGCCCCGGGTTCGATTCCTCAGAACTACATAAACACCACATAAACAGAAAAAGCCAGAAATGGTGCTGTGGTTCAAGTGCTAGAGTGCTAGCAGTTTAAGGGCAGTACTCAGGGGAAAAGAAAGAATTTAAGCAACTCATTACTATCTAGAGCATTATTAACATTTAATGTGTAGTGATGCTGTGGCTCAAGTGGTAGAATGCTAGCCTTGAGCTGAATTGCTGAGGGACAGTGCCCAGGTCCAGAATTCAAGCCCCATGACCAACGAAAACAAAAAAACAAACAAAAAATGATTTTGGAGACATTGAGGAAAAATTGAATATAGCCTATACAACATTTAATGTGTTCCTGGTCTACAAATATAAATGTATATGTATGTTACAACTTTTAGATAGTTTTTGTGTTTTTTTTTTTTGGTTTTTTTTTTGGTGCTAGTACTGGAGCTTGAACTTAGGTCTTTATGCCCTCCTTTGGCCTTTTCTTTCAAGACTGATGCTCTACCACTTGAGCCACATCTCCACTTGTAGCTTTAATTTACTGGTTAGTTGGAGATAAGAGTGTCACAGAGTTTTCAGCCTGGGCTTAGCTTTGAACCTTGAGTCTCAGATCTCAGCTAGAATTATAGGTGTGAGCCACTAGTGCCCAGCTTCATATCTCATAGAGTTTTGTATTTTGATTTTTGTCTAATAAATCATGAGCATTTTTTATAATATTTAAAAAGTGTGGTGAATCAATTCAGTTATTTTCCTGTTAGACATTTAGGTTATTTCTCTTTTTGGTTCAGAAATAATATTGTAGTGAGCATTTCTGTGCTGGTGTTTGTTTGGTTCCATGAGGCAAATGAGGCATAGATAGGTGGTTCATTTAACATGAGGGCACAACTCATCACAGTCCCAGAGTTGAGCAGTTGAACATTTCAAAAGTCTTAGTGGGGAATGAAGCACATATTTCCTTTTTAATAGTTAGTGCTCAGGAAATCTTAATTCTTGACTTGTAGCTTGCTTTGTGATTTCTGGTTTGTTTGTTTTTTTTGTTGTTGTTGTTGTTGATTGTGGAGCTTGAACTCTGGGCCTGGGCACTGTCCCTGTGCTCTTCAGCTCAAGGCCAGAGCTCTCCCACTTGAGCCACATAGCCACTTTAGGTTTTCTGGTGGTTAATTGGAGATAAGAGTCTCCCAGACTTTCTTGCCCGGGCTGTCCTTGAACTTCGATTCTCAGCCTCCTGAGTAGTTAGGATTATAGGCAAGAGCCAGCAGCGCCCAGTGTGTACACTCTCTCTCTCTCTCTCTTTTTCTCTCTCCCTCCCTCCCTCTCCCTCCCTCCCTCTCCTCTCTCTCTTTCCTCTCTCTCTCTCCTCTCTCTCGTCCTGGGGCCTGGGCTGTATCCCTGAGCTTCTTTTGCTCAAGGCTAGCACTCTACCACTTGAGCCACAGCGCCCTTCTGGCTTTTTCTGCTTATGTGGTACTGAGGAATCGAACCCATTCCCTGGCTTTGTGATTTCTTGTAAGCCATCTTCCTCTGGAAGACCTTGATTTTGTTACTTGGAAATGAGAAAACTGGGCCAAATAATTTCAAAATGCCCCTCTACCTTTGAGAATCAGTGAATCTAACAATAGAAATCAGCAAAGAAACTGAGTTATTTGTGGTTACTGAGCTGTGTTCCTAGCTTTGTAAGTATTGGAGTCAGTGTTTGGTGCCTAGCTTTCTTTATTATGAACTCAGGCATTAATGAAACACACAGGCTCCTGGGCTCCACCTCAGGTTCTAAGCTCAGGCTCTGAAGATAGAGCCAATGGAATGGAGTCTTCCCAAACCTTTTGAGTATCCTGACATTTCAGAAGCATTGTCTGATCTTGTTAACAAGATAGAAAACAACATAGTATTTTTGATGTTACTTCATTTTTGTGATTGGGAACCTAGAAGAGAGACAGAGAAAGAGAGAAGGAGAGAACTTGCTACAAAAAGTTTTAATATATCTTCTGTTTTCTCTTTTGCATATCTAATTAATGTTATTTTATTCCAGATTTTCCTTCTAGTTCAAAGCAGGAAATGGCGGGATGGCCTTTGTTCCAAAACAGTGGAATATCATCGTCTAGACCAGAATGTTAATGAGGCTATGCCTTCTCTAAAGATTACCAATGATTATATTTTTTAAAGCACTGTGATTTGAGTTTGCTTATTATGTCATTTTATTTGCTTGACTTTTTATATATGATATTGTGCAGATGTTTGCCACAGGCATTTGGTACTTAAATGAGAGGTGGATCTCTCTTTTGCCTTGGTGCTTTGGAAATTAAATGTCACAAATACTTTTAGAGCTGAATTAATCAGGTGTCCAAAGTATGAGTTAAGCATCACCTTATATTTACAGTTTTTATTATTTTCCATTTATTGTTTTTTCTGAAATTAATACTACTTGTAAAAGATTCCAAACTTAAAAAAAATTCTAACATATATAATACTGCTGATTCAGATCTACTCTTTGCCATCCAAATGCTATTTTTTAAAGCACTTATTTCTTATTGGTCCCACACTGTAAAGTACAAGGGTATTATGTGTGATAATGTTTTGCATTAAAGTAATACTTTTTTTCTCTTAAGAGAACTCTGGATATTTTTAGGGAATTAAAACACAAAATAGTGATCTTGTTCAATCTGACCACAGTTTTAGGCAACACATTAAATATGTCAGAAACTCTGGCAAAAGAGAATATAGTTTGCAGTGAACATAAGATAAAATATCATATAGATAGCAGTTTTTGGTTTGAATTACTGAATTAAATTTAGAGGTGAAAACTGATAAAGAACTAAATGCGTGAACAGTTAATTTTAGCAGTTCATTTGTAGCTCTGGTCTCAAAGGTTTCAAGCAATGGGAAGAGTTTAAAGTTACATTTGTTCACTTTGTTTCTTACTGTGTAATAAGATGGAATAAACTTTTAGGTCATTATCATTTAAATATATCATTTAATATATATAGGCCTTTCAAATTAAAATTACTAGAAGTGGTTTGTAAACTTAAAGGATATATATCCATCCATACATAGTATACATTGTGTACACGCATATATGTATGTATACAAGTATATATGTATGTATGCACATTGATCTTCCCAGGCCTATCTTGTTTTATTGTTGGTTGTTTACAGCAACTGGAAATTATTTACTATATTTCACTTTAGCCTGTGTTTCTATCATAAAGAATTGATCAGTATGTAAATATGTGATTTGAACCCTGTTGTCATGGAAACCTTATCTTTACTGTGTGCTAACCAAAGCCCAGAGGAGCCAGTGGTCACATGCTTTGGGTAGAGCTGGAGTAGCAGTGCCGTCCACCGTCCTCTCCAGCAGACAGCTGACTTTCAATAAGGGAAGCACAATGGATATACACCTGAACTGTTTTATTGCAGCAATTTTTTTCATATCTGAAATTGTATTATTTAATATTTTGAATAAGATTTTAAAAAATAAATGGCAAAGATATAAATCAGTGCTTTTCCAAGCATGTTTCATTTCACTGGCCACATGTAGTAGGAACAGCATAGTCCCACATCTGGGAGGAAGTGAGCCTGAGTAGCCTGTAGTCCCTGTCAGCTGTAGAACCCTGCCTGCAAGGAATGCCGCGTCCATTTCAGCAGTTTTCTTAGGCTTACTGCTGGGTGCTGACATGTATTGACACTTTAGCAAAGTAGCATCCTTGGCTCCCTTTTTCTAGAAGGCTGCCTCTGCCTGCAGGACCATTCTTGGTGCATCTAGGGCCTTGTAGCACTGTATTTCTTCTTGCAGTTTGCGGTACAAGTTCCACTGCTGCCATCCAATGGCCTTTGGCTTGGAGCATCATGTCTAACATAGATTGAAAATGCTGCTGGACTGACAAGGTATTTGAGCTGCCAGAGGGGAGGAATTTAGAACCCACATTTGAGATGCCAACACTGAAGCACCTTACTCATCTATCTGTGATCTGCTCACATCTTCTAGGTATGCTTTCTGCATAGACCAGTGTTCAGTGTTTGCCGTGATGGCATAATGGGTTATCCCATAGTTTCTGTGTCTTAGCTGAAAAGGAAATAAACGTTGAAGATTTGTCCTGGCAGGCAGGCTGGCCTGTCTTGACTGGGTTTTAGGAATCAAGTTGTAGAAGTGTGCACAGGCTCTTTTGTGGAATGTATGACTTGCCTCACAGAGTGTTTGAGGACAGGATATGGCTGTTACTTCCTTCCTGCCTTCCAACTTGGTACTGCCTGGCATTTTTCCAGGCCTGAATTGGGGCTTGAACTCAGCCTAGGCGCTGTCCCTGAGCTTCTTTTGCTTAAAGCTAGCGCTCTACCACTTGAGCCACAAAGCCACTTCCTGATTTTTCTGTGTAGTTTATTGGAGATGAGTCTCATGGACTTTCCTGCCAGACTGGCTTTGAACCATGATCCTCAGATCTCAGCCTCTTTAGTAGCTAGGATTATAGGTGTGAGCCATTGGCAACAGGCTTGAATTGTTCTTTTTTTCTTTTTGGCTGGTAGTGGGGCCTGAACTCTGGGTGCTACCCTTCAGCTCTCCAACTCAAGGCTAGCATTCTACCACTTGAGCCACAGTGCCACTTCCAGCCTTTTCTGCTTATGTAGCGCTGAGGAATCGAACCCAGGGCCTCATGCATGCAAGGCAAGCACTCTACCACTGAGCCACCTTCCCAGCCCCAGGATTAAATTGTTTAGATAAAGTTTTTGAGAAACTAGATGCAGTGGGAACTAAGGCAGCCTTAGCTCTGCGCAGGATCACACATCTGGTCCTGGACACACCTGTACTTTGGGGATGAGGGCCAGGATATAGTATATCATACACCCACATTCCTACCAGACACTAATTCACACTGAGGTGCCATCTTTCCCCCCAAATCAGACCAGCTGCTCCCTGGTGAAGTAAAAGAGGTCACTTTTTTTGTTGTTGTTTTGTGTGTGTGTGTGTGTGTGTGTGTGTGTGTGTGTGTGTGTGTGTGATATGTGTGAAGGGTGAATGGTAGCACTTCTGCTTTCTCAGCTTGGTTTGGTGCTGGAGCCATTTGTCCTGGCTTCTGTATGAGGTAGTTCCATCTTATTGTGAAGACCAGATGTCTACCAGAGAACAGAAAAGGTTTGAGGTCTATCCAGTTTCAGCCAGAATATATGGGTTGGTGACTAATTGAATTTTATTCAACTAACTAAGAGAGGAGATGCCAAGACAGATTCCAGAAATGAACTAGGGACAATTTATGACCTACCTTAGTAGTGTGATTTCCTGCTGTCTAGGCTAGTGAAGTGACTCGGTGGGGGTCTGATTTTAGTTAAGTAACATGTCCCCGTGAGTTCTAAGCCTGTCTTCCAGCTCCCCAGAGTCCTAGAATTGCTTGTGTTCATCCAAAAAGCTATATATTGAAAGGCCCATTGCCCACTCCAGAATTCTTCCATCCTCATTCCTCGACTCTAAAACCTTAAAATGCCTTCACTTGTCTGCTTGGAGCCACAGAGATGTTAGGTTCTGGGAATCTTTGACTTCCTAGATAACCTCCCAGGATGCTTTGTGCCCCTGGTCACATGCCCTTGTGTCAACCTAACAGCACCGAATACATGAGATCCCCCTCAAGGGAGGCAGTATTGATTGAGCTGGATTCCCACTTTGGATCTGATCCCCAAACTGAGTCTTCCCCAGGTCACTTTGCAGCCCCTAGAAAGGTCAACACGGAATGCACAAGGGTGTGGGGAGGAGAGGGTTGATCTTGATCTGAGCTTTTTGTATCAGTCTCATCTCGTACTATGGAAGAAGGGTGATTAACTCACAGAACTGTTGAGGAAAAGAATGTTTTTGAAAGGACTTTGTACATGAGGAGGCATTTACATTCACGTCACTGACCACGGATGAGTCAGCAGTAGCCTTAGACACAGAGAAGAGGGAGCTGGGGAGGGAATTGTGCAGGAGTGGCTCAAAGTCCTAGCTGCCTTCCCAACTTCTCCCCTTCCTATCCCCCCTCACCCCTCCCTTGAGGTGCACAGCTTGTCAGAACTGGGTTTATCCTGAGCTATCTAGGATTCATGACCCTGCTAAGTTACAGATGGAGCTACATTGGAGCTTCCCAACTATTTTCCCTGTTCATCCTTGGGTTTTTCCCTGGAAAAAAAAAAAAAGGGTCAAAGGAGTTGGGAATGTGGCTTAGTGGTAGAGTGCTTGTCTAGCCTGCATGAAGCCCTGGGTTTGATTCCTCAGTACCATGTACACAGAAAAAGCCAGAAGTGGTGCTGTGGCTCAAGAGGTAATGTGCTAGCTTTGAGCAAAAGAAGGTTGGAGATAGTGCCCAGGACCGGAATTCAAGCCCCAGGATTGGCAGGGGGGAAAAAAAAAAGTCAAAGGGTCCTTTCCATCATCGTGAATGATTCCCAAGTACCCAGGACTCCAGAGAGAGATGGTTCCTTGTAGGGTATGCCTGTCTAAACTTCTCTGGGAGGGAGAATGGAGCTGGGCTTTGGACCACAAATGCCCCCCCCCAGGTGTGCCCACCTTCTGTCATGACTATTGAAACAAATGCTTGAACTCTTTCAGGTTCTGTGCTGGGTGTTGGGAGGCCATGACAGGTGCTGTCTCTCTGCCCTTGTGCTTTCAGGCACAGAGGAAAAGAGAATCTGTGAAGGGTGAAGCAGTGCAATGCTGCATTTCGCTGTTTTCATGGTAACAGACGCCATGGACTGTGACTCTGTGTGATATGCATACCAATCCAATAAGGCAGTTACCATTATCACCACCCCCCCCCCCCCATTTTACAGAGAAGAAGAGACACACATAGAGAGTTTAAGCAATTTGCAGAAGGTCCTATGGCTAAATGAGAGAGAACTGGGATTGGATTTCAGACTTGGTATGGCTCCAGATTCTCAGTTGCTGAGAGTGTCCCAGAAAGGTAAGAAGAAAAGATTGTCCAAAAGTCCTCAACATTGGGTGGATAGCATTTTAGTCCTATCAGTAAAAGGCGAAAGATTTATATGGTTTAAAGAAAAATCAGAATTTTTCTTCCACTTAAAACTTCTTTTATTATGATTATAAAATATTATAAATCTTTAATTTTTTTTTTGTCAGCCATGGGGTTTGAACTCTGGGCTTGGGCACTGTCCCTCAGCTCTTCAGCTCAAGGTGAGTGTTGTACTATTTGAGCCACAGTGCCACTACCTGTTTTCTGGTGGTTTATTGGAGATAAGTCTCCTAGGCTTTCCTGCCCAGGCTGGCTTTGAACTGTTATCCTCAGATCTCAGCCTCCTGAGTAGTTAGGATTACAGGTGTGAACCACCGGTGCCTGGCAAATCTTATTTTAAGAGCATACTCTAGAAAATTCATCCAATGGTCAGCCTAACAAGTTTTTTCTTTTTTCTTTTTGTGGGTTGTGAGGCTTGAACTCTGGCCCTGTGCACTGTCCCTGAACTCTTCAGCTCAAGGGGAGTGCTCTACCGCTTGAGCCACAGCGCCACTTCTGGTTTTTCTGGTGGTTAATTGGAGCTAAGAATCTCATGGGCTTTTTTGCCTGGGCTGGCTTTGAACAACAATACTCGCTTGGATCTCAGCCTCCCGAGTAGCTAGGATTACAGGCATGAGCCACTGGCACCTGGCCCTAACATGTTATTGTAAAGTAATACACGTGTAGCTTCTGCCAAAGAAGGGAAATGGAATTTTGCTAACACCCCAAATACCATCCTAGATCCTTAAGCTAGTCCTCCTTCAGGTATTATTCTTTTGACTTTATTGCACCCCTTCTCACCCCCACATTCATTTTTACATTTGTTACCTAAGTACATTCCCTAAACACCACCATTTAGTATGGTTTGCAGCTTCACGTAACTCGAATGATACTCTATGTGTTATATACTTTTATAATTGGCTTCTGTCATTCAACCTTCACCATGTTAGTTCAGCAGCAGAACTCATTGCTTTCCATATTGCATCTATTATAAAAATATATATACTACAATATGCTCCTCAAGTCTGACATTGAAGGATACTTGAGTTGCTTATAATTTCAAGTTGTTTTTTTCTAATTTACTTTATTGTTGAATAAAATCCATTGAAAGTGTTTCAAGAATGGAGACAGTGATGTGGAAGATTAAGAGGTGGGAGGTTGATAAGGATACATTGTTTCTCTGTATGAAAATGTCACAATGAACCCCTACTACAACTCATGTATAATTATTTTAAATGGGATCTTCCAAACTCCCTATTTTACATTCCCACTAACAATGTTCTCTATATCCTCACCAACACATTATTTTCCTTTTTTAAAATTCATTTTGTTTTGGGCAGAAGTGAGGTTTGAACTATAGTGGTTATTTGAAGACGAGTCTCATAGGGACTTTTCTGCCCAAGCTGGCTTTAAACCCCAATCTTCAGATCTCAGCTTCCTAAGTAGCTAGAATTATAGGTGTGAGCCACCAGTATTTGGCTGTATATAAATTTTTAAAACTTAAAAAATGATTGAGGGCTGGGAGTGTG